CAAGTCAGTTACACCTATCGCAACTCTTGTTAAAATTTACTAATCAATGCTGGTTTGACCGATGTTGTCTCGGATCATGAAAATTTGAACTGCAAGTTCTGCCTGGTCTGCCTCTGCTTGGCTGCTAAATTAAAGGCCAAGCTGAAAACGATTCGGCTTGAAAATGCCGGCCTCGGTGATGCATCGGCTGATGAGATGTTCATAAATTCTCGTGTCCGGCCGACTCGGTGATATCCATGAACCATGACTACCATGTGGGTCTTGCCAGCTGACCCTGGTAACCAGAGTTGAGGGCCCTCGGCCGACCACCAACCCAGGCGAATTCAAAATGTCTGCCGACCTTGCATAGCCTAGCTGCTAATCAGAAGTGAAGGCCCTCGGCCGATCACCAGCCCAGCAACGTTCACAACTGTCAGCCGACCTTGCATCTTCCATCAGCCGATATACAAATACAATGTTCAAAACTGTCAGCTGACCTTGCATAGCTTAGCTATCAGCCGATATACAAATACAGGGACTTGACTTCCCGGGGCAGCTTCCTACTGATCGGTGTATGCTAAATCTACGTAGCTGGCCGACCCTTCTTTACCTTGATAGTGGGATCACATCGGCCAATTCATCAACACAGGGTTATTGGCCCTCATCGGCCCATCAGCAGGCACCATCAACTATGGCCTGTTTGTATTGTCGGGCCTCTCAGTGTTGGTGGGTGATTCCTACTAACTGCCCTGGACAGGGATAATAGGGCTGCGCACCGTCCGTCTGACGGAAACGGCCGTCTAATCGACAGGTGTCGACGGGGGTGTTTCAACCGGCAACCGTCCATCTGGGTCACCCAAGTAGAATCAAATGGAGACGGACTGATATAAAACGGCCGTCAACGGATGTAGACGGACGTCAATTATGTTGACTTCGACAAATTCTCATGTTATGCACTACAGTAGAATTAGAATGCATTGAAAAGGTGTTAAAAATAATTGGCGCTATCTAATGGCGTAGGGCGGCATTTGTCTGTGCGCGTGCAAGGTGGAGTCTTTTCTTGACGAGCATCAAAATCCGGATTGTATCCGGATGAAGGCTAGCACGACGCAAAGAAATTGTGTCCCTTCCACCAGAAAAAACCCTCTCTACAGCCACCGCAGATCCTAACCAATAAATCAATATTTTCAACAGTAGCAAGAATCAGGGTACTCACCTGGAATGCACAAAATGTCGTGCGCAAGCTTAAACAGTTTAGGAAACTGCGCCCAGCGGCCCATCCACCATTGTATGGGGTCGCAAGTTTCGAAGTCCTCAATGGGAAGCTTCCAATACTCTTCTAATTCATTAATAGAGGCCTTACTTTTATTGCGGTAGCGAGAGGTGAAACATTTTTGAGGTGATCCCGAGACAGTTTGTTGTGAAGGTGTGATAGTTTGAGAGGGAGGAGCTTCCAAGTCAGCTGCGTAATTCTCTTTGTAATAAGCAATGAGATTGGTTTTTGATTCTTCAAGGTAATCGCGAAGGATTGGATCATCAGAATAGTCTGCCTTCATCCCCTCATATGAGATTCGTGGATCGAGCACTGCAGAAAATGTCATAAAATGTTTCGCTCATGCAAATGACATCACATACATGCGGCCCATGTGTAAAATGGGGATTTGTCGTACTTGTAGTAATAGTCACTGAGTTTTCGATGCGCATCAGTGAGGCCACGCTTGACATTGGGAGAAACCGAGTTTGGGAGATCGCGAAGAATTCCCTTTAGGTCGTCTTGAAGGCCCCGAAAGACTGCGTGAACTGTGGAAAGCATTGGGACCTTCGTTGTTGACATCTCGGTTGTCGCAGAACGGAAGGATTTGAGCCAGGATGTGACTAGCTTGATTGAATCCCATTCCGCCACGCTAAGCTCAAAATCACGGAGGTCTTTGTTTCTCGAGACAAATGAGTCAATCATGTCACGGTAATCAAGAGCTCGTCCTGTAGCAGAATCATTTTAAATGGTATAGTAATCAGAAGGAAAATGGTAATGAAACTCACGAAGCATTTGGTGAGTGGAAGCCCAGCGCGTTCTTACGTCGAGAATCAACACCAGGGAAGCGCTGCAGTCTTCAGTTATGCCGCTGCCCTGGACAACTTGGATTTCCCATGCCCAAGTTTGATGGCGTTGAGGGCTCGAGCGAACCGCTTTCACAATTTTTCGAAGCTGAATAGAAAGGAAATCCTGAATTTCATTTCTCAGTTGATAAGTTTTTTTTTGAAGACTCACTTTCTGAATTGCGGAGAGCACGCCATCTGCTGCATCCGTTCCCATATCATCATCACCGTTAGCATCATCATAAGCCTCCGCTTCGTCGTCGTTCTCATGTGCAATTGGAGTGGTGATGTTATCTTGATAATTCCCTGTGGCGTGCGCTACAGCTTTTCTGCCCTCCTCCTTTGAGATCACACCAATTCCTTCGAGGAGCTGTTACAAGGTTAGTACGTTAATTTAAACAGTGGGTTAGAGCTTCTCTCACTTTTATGGCAGCCAAGTGGACAGTGTGAGGCATGCACCTCATGCGAGAATCTCTGGCTGAGAAGTAAAGTCCACGGGTGGTACAGTGTCGCTCAAGGGAGACCATTAGGGTGTCGTTGTTGCTTGCATTATCCATCATGATGGCTAGAATCTGTCGGTGTATCAGTAAATTTTCACATTAAGATTGTCAGTAAAAACAACACCTTTCCAATCAAACCGTACAACTCGAGTGTTTCCCATACAGCATTGGCCATATTTTCACCAGAATGTTCACCTATGAGCTCCCGGAAATCGATAAGCAGCTCCTCTATGATCTACTTCAATCAGAGTTCGACCTCATAGATAAATGTCTACTGACCAAGGTGTCCATCGTTAGAAACATAGTGTGCGACGATCGCTAAAAATGCATGTCCATTGCTTGAAGTCCATGTGTCGATAGAAAGCGATACTTTTGATTCGAGTTCCTGTTTGAAAGAAATAAACTCCTATATCTAAACCAACTCCAATCAAGGTGACGTACCAAAAACATTTCATGAATACCTCCAACTGTGTCCTCTCCCATCTTCATGACACGTCGCTTCATTCCCTCACGATTAGGCATTTTTAACGGTCCCCTGCCATGATGAGTATGGTTCATCAGCGCAACAAACTCCGGTTTCTCCACTTCATCAAACGGTTGGTCACAGGCGACAATCCACTCCGTGAGCAGAGTTTCGAATTTTTCTTGATCCCATGGGCCCTATAAACAGGAATCTGAGCAACCAAAATTAGTGAATGTATGCAAACACTCACTGCAGCTCGTGCTTCCTGTTCTTGAAATGCTCTCTTAATATTCTCAGACGCCGACTCGAGCTTTTGAATATATTCAGCCTCAGCTTTCTCCGAGAGAGGCTTTTTGCCTGATGCAATTGCGATCTCTTCAGTAGTAGAGGGCTCACGTCGTCCCTTCAAGATGCAATAAAGTCGGTACATCGGTGCTATGTGCACGCGAAGATGATTTTTGAGGCCTGAATAACATAAAATTAAACAAGACGGACTTTAGGAAGAAGCAAAACCTTACAATGCAGGTTTCCATTCATGCCTTTTGTAATTGTGCAGATCTTGTGTGAGCTGTGGAGACAGCGATAATGCACGTCGCCTTTGTTTCCTGGTTTCCCTGAAGCATTGGTGTTGACGATCTCATAAAATAGATAGATGGGGCTTGTCTTGATGCTCCCGTTGTCCTAAAATAATAACATGTCATTGAAAGAATTTACCGTGTGAATGCCCAACTTACCTTTTTTTTGGAATCCCTGTCCGTTGTGGAACTGATCGCGTTTCTTCTAGCTGAAATATTTTTGGAACTATCAATGTCTTCAACCTCTTCTATCTCAACTGAGCTCCCTCATTTCGTATTTTCAGGAGGAGCCGCAACATTGGGGTTCAAGATGCTCTAAAAGACATTGTACTTTTTTAATAGAAAATTGAAATAAAGAAAAGCGCACCTTATCGCTGACAGCCATCTGAGCATCGGCAGCGGCGGGGATCTTGGTGCTGGAAGTGTTCTCAACAGAACCCACTCTTAACCTCTTCTTCGGCGGTGCTGGCTTTGCCCTTGGCTTTAGCATATGCCCGTGGCCCTTCTTGTTGCTGGCATCTGGGATGGTCTTTGAAGGGAGCATGTCCGCAATCTAAATAAATCATAGTTATGTGAGTACGGCTACAAACTCAGCTCGAAGTAGTCTTACCTCGTTGTTGGTCACCATTTCAACATCACTATTAGAATCTTCGTCACTGCTTGATGCAAAAAAATCTCCATCTTCCGCGTCGCTGACAGATTCTTCGACGACTCGCTTATGCTTAGTGGCAGCTTTACGAGGCTGAGAAATACTTTGCATGGCAGGTAGTACAACAGCATTTCCGTAGTCATCAGTTGTGAGCTCTGAGGCGATAGCGGCTGCTAGCCATGTGCCATCCCTAGCACGCACCGGCCGTTGACGAGATTCTTCTGTAAAATACATGAGTACTGATTCCAAACTACGAAGCAGAAACTTACTCGACGGCGCAGAATTTGAAATGGGGTGAATATCGTCTGGATCATTAAACCATTGAATTTGGCTAGCATCCAATAGTTCGCCATTTGGTCCACGAGCACACTGATCTGAGTTCATGTTGAGAGAATGATGAGTTGAGATATGGGGAGGGATGTGACGTGCAATGAAGTCAAATAAAAGTAAAACTTTTTATACATACTTACCTACCTACCACCATCCACGATGAGATCGATTTTTTCGGTCTTGGTGAGGTTGGGGGATACTAGGGTGCACCTTGGCGAAAATTTTCAGTCACTACCGATGAGTTTTGCACTGCCATCGCGGAATCAGATTTGAATAAGATACAAAAAAAAATCTCAGATGTCGGAAGGTTGAAAAATGCGACAAAGGCTATATGTAAATGAAGGAATATTAAAAAGACAGGTCGCCCATCTCAGAAGAAAATTTCGCGGGGTACGTGGGGATTGGAAGGTGATAGCGGCCTTGGTGCAACTCTCATTTCAAACTCCGCATATACTGCAATGACGCCCGTCAACCCCGTTTACACCCGTCACTTGACGGAAACAAACAGCCCTTCACTGCACGTCTACCGTACGTCAGGACACTTACAACAAGCCCAAACGGTACAGTGACGGTGCCCGTGTGACGGATCCGTCTATCCGTCTAAGACGGACACGGTGAGCAGCCCTAGGGGATAATGATTTCCTCATCAGTGTCTACCATCTAATTGAGGAATCAGTGAGAACGTTACCAAGCTGAAGTCAGAGTGTACATACACGGGTCTCAGTTTGACGTGCCTTCTTCTTGATGTGCGTGTGAGCGTAAAATTCTTGAATAAGACCAGGGACCTTCTGCGCGAGGATCTTTGCCGGGATCCAGTAGTATACCGGGGTATGGTCTTTCTGCATCTTGTTTTTCTGAATGTTGTTGTTGAGGGCGGAGAGGGTTTCCTTGGCAAGAACCAACATGGCAGTCTCAACGCAGAAGCCACGCACATTCGTGCCTGTCTTCAGTCCACCAGGCCCAAGCTTTTCCTGCCGGACGTGAAGCAGGGATGCACATGAGAGTTTGTCATCAATGGCACTTGGAATGTCGACAGGCTATGCACAGGAATCATCATCTGTAACGAAGGTAGTAACTAGAATGATGACATTACCTTGAGGAGCATTCGCATCACAGCTGCTTGCCAAACATTCTCGTGGAATCGATCTATGATCGTGCCAATGGATGCCCAAGAAAAGGATTTTTCACAGCGAACAGCTAGTTGAGCGAGGTTCGGTTGGCGAAGCGTCCACGATGTTGTATCAGGGCCGTGGCCGTCGCCTGACCAAGACGTGAGTGGGTGGGTGTACAGCCAGAGGATGCTGACTCTGGGGAAGTCAAGGGGGAGGTTACGGGCTAGCACAGGGCGCTTCGTGCCCATGAGTTGATGAGGATCGTTGAGCAGCTCATTTTTGAGCTCGTCACGCCAACCGAGAAGGAACTCTTGAAGGGCATGTGGAGAGAGCTGGGTAGCTGCCATGAAAAGGGTCTCTGGTAGGTTACCACGGGCTAGTTGATGGGCAATTGTGAGCCCGCATCCAGGAAGACCATCCTAAATGACCAATAGTTAGGCAGAGGTTGGAGCCAAGTATCTTGCCCACATACCTCGTCATAGTCCCTGCCACTAAGAATTGCAAGGAAAATCATTTTAGCACAGGTGAGCGATGTGTCGTGTTCAATGTCATCGGCAGAGTAGCAGATAACCTCGTCGCCATCAGCTTTTACATTTGGGCTGTGAAAGTTAGCACAGAGACAACGGTACATTGCTCAGGTACTTACGGCTTAATCAGGCTTGTGCCCCTGAAGAGGAAAAAGTCGAAATCCGTTGTGATGACCGCTTCAATTAGGCCTTGTGCAGTCAGCTGGGCCAATTCAGCCTCAGCCTCTCCCGGAGCCTGAGGAGAAACATTATTGTCAATAGGGAACAAGGAATGGAACAAAGTTAGATGCAACATGATAGAAGGGACAGCCAAAGTCCTCAAGGAAACCCTCAATGTATTGCTCCATCCAATGTGGCTTTCCAGATTTGACATTCATCCCCCGTTTGAAAAGTGGACGACTGCGACCGTCGAAGATGAAGATCGGCTCAATGCAACGTGCGAGCAGGTGGCAAATGCGAAAGAAAATGATGCGAAGTGCTGGATTCTCCCCCTCTCGAGTACCTGGACCTCGTATGGAATGCACTACGGCTTGAGCTTGGCAAATCCAGATGCTAAGCAAACAAAATCAGTTTATGTTGGTGAATTGGTGAAAAAGAGAGAAAACTGTACCTAACATCAACACCCACACAAACCATTTGGTCACCATGTAAGTTTTTTGCAAACCCTTCCTTCATAGCAAACTCCGTAAGAGTTTGAACATGGCGTGCAGGCTCCAAAAGCTGAAAAATATGAGCCACAAGGTCTGAAATAAAGAGAACTGCTCACATCAGAGAGTCCCGGAACACCCATAGTGTTGTGGTTGTGAGGAGAGACGTGTCTGGGAAGGTGAAACCACTTTTGATTTACATCCACAAGAACATTGAGGGCATGCGGTGGGTGTCAGACGTCGAAAGTTACACGTCGGGGATCCTGCGATGGTAATGTGGGGAGAGGAAGCATAGGACATGGCCAGTCACTAGTCAATGTTCAACGTTGAACGCTGAGCACTGGCGCTGAACATTGAACGCCCAACCGTTAGTGTTACAGCTTCCACCATCAAAGTCACATGATGTAAATATGTACATGTGATGTAAACGCGTCGACGCGTCGGCCATACATACACCGCGACTAGACCAGACGCTAAAAAGACCTATCCTAGAAAAAATTGTAATAAGACATTTATCAGGCACATTGAACTCCACAAATGCTACAATGTCACTCAACTCTTGCAATAAATATAAAATAAAGAAGGAGGGTTTTGTCTGTAACTTGTAATAAGTGAAAATCGAACACATAAGCAAGGATAAGAACTTATGTAGGATTGATTTAGCTTGAATCTAGCTCAATTTATTGGATTTAAGAACCCTTGATACCAACTGGTTCAATTTATGGTGAGGGGAGATGAACACTGATGAACGCCAGGAACCCTGAAGAGCCCTGAAGTCAATTTAGTCCAATCAGTCCTGGGTTTCTTGGAAATATTCCATAGCCACGGAATACCTGGCTCTTGCAGCATTCACAAATCTCAGGCCATTGCTCCGAAGGAAAAGCTTTGAGAGTGAAAAACATTGTATAGCACATGTACAAAACAGTTAACTTCTAGAATGTATCACAGGAGGTAGCAAGGGAGAGTAAGGGTAGGTTAAACAAGAGACGATCAAGATCCAAGAGTGGCAGCAGGGACGATGGTGAGGGTCCTGAACCTAACATTCCGCAGGGATGTGTTGAGGGTCCTGAATCTGAAGCGACTACTCGGACCATAGCGTTACGAAGCTTGGCAGTATAGGCTTACTCTTGACTCTAGATGACCATGTTAACGGAGGTTCTCAACTGACGAAAATGAAATTACGCACTGCTCTTTGTCCCCATGGATGGAAAGCGCCGGCCATCCACCTTGACGGAAATATTTTGTGATAACATCTGAAATGAATGTCAGCAATCTCGCTTTCTCTGGGCTTATTTGATTACCCAGGTCGACCATGCGATCAGCCTCATCCACGACCAAATGGGTGACTCGTTAAAGATTAGCCATTTGAGTTTCCAGCGGCCACACCCAAACTTCATGCATACTTGCTAGATTTGTACGGCGAGTTCTCAGGTTGGCGTCAGAACAAGCAAAATGGGACCATCACCAGATAGTGACAATGGCAGACTACATTACAAAGGACGACGTGAACAACTATTAACAAAGAATGAATGGCACTCACACATTGATGTGCAACATGGCCGTAAGAGCAAATGAAATCGTTTCCCGTTACATTTGCACAATAGTGGCAACATCTCGATGCCGTGGGCCAAGCCTGACACTGAACTGGGGTCGTCAGTTGGAGGGGAGGGGAGAAAGGGAGGGGGAGGAGTCAATGGGACACAGCTAAACCTTCCGCGGATCGAGCCACAGACTGAACCCCAATCAAAACGCATGTGCTCGTCATAGGTGTTGTCTGCGCGTGAGCATTGCTGCCTAGCCCTGCCACCCCTCGTTGTCCCAACAAAGGACACGTTCAATTTCGCAGACGCAAGTCCATGGCGATTTCTAAAAGTAAGAGCATGCGTCAAAGTCAAATGGCAGAGGATGTGAGATTCAATCGACGCACCTGGAAGATGAGCATTGAGGATGGCGGCTCTCCATTCCTTTCCTTGTATTCCCCAACCTCCTCCCTCTTCAGTTGCACCCCCCTCCGAAAGCTGAGCAAGCGCGAAAGATGAGGCGCAGACGAAGTTGCCCCGTGTGTGTTGGCAGGACACAGCGGGAGAGAGTCCAGCATCTAGATTCTTGCCCCCCGCGCACGATATTGGATTCCCGAAAACAAATGGCAAGTGTGTGGAGCGAACTGCGAAAAGGCGCGTCAGGGAGGCATCAGGGAGGTTTCGGTGGTATGCAGAGAGGCGAATAAGCAAGGTATTTCTCACAGATATCAGAATCCGGTGATGAGCGTAATTTATTGAATTTAACATTTAGTACCTTAAATCAAGGGAAATAACTCTACTTATGTCCATTTTTATCGCCATTGTAAAGCATTGCACACGAAAGTACTGATGAATGAAGGGAAAGGCCGAGTCATCATCATCTCTTTCTTTCGCTGGGTGGGATCATGTGTCATCAATAACTCTTTCTTGTTATTGGCGCTCAACTTTGAATTCTGCTCAACCTCATCCGGCATAACACATACTAGGCCTTTGGGAAGAAGTTCTATTAAAAGTAAGATACATGTCAGATAAGACTTGACTTTTCCTGACGCACCCTCCCAAGTTCAGCATGGAAGCCACAATTCAATGCCCGGAACCTGTGATTTCAAATATTTCGGCTGAGATTCGTCCATACATACTCATTTTCAACGTCAACCGCATATCTCGCCAATCGCTTAAAACATCGGTCATCTCCTCGCACGTCTGTAGGCTCTGGCGAAAAGTCATACTCTCCTACCCCGAACTTTGGAGTCATATGATCTTATTGAAGGTGCCTACTTATATTGTGATGGGCGGTGCTTTACAGTCGGACTCCGCATTTTCCCCATCTAAGTTCGTCAAGCAGCAAAGAATTCCAGGAAATGAAGGTGCAGGGTGTACTCACTAGACATAGCATCCTCGGCTGACAAACTTTTGGGTAGCCTTTATGGCAGATTTAGCTGGGTAACCTCAGCACCCAACACCAGAAAACCGTACGCAATCTACATGTCTCCCTTAACAGCCCTTCCAGTGTCGCCATCGCTCGAAGTTAGTGTCCGGGTCAGAAGGTACCGAGTTCGCCCTTGTCTCAACATCTGTTGTTATCGCTGCAAACTAGGACAGAGGTGCGCGGCAGCTCAGTGCATTGCGTTCCAGTGCTTGTTTTGAATTGCATGGTGGGAGGTCAATTTGGGTTTGCTTGACGGAGAACGTCAAGTGAGTTTATATTCTTTTTTATGGCGGCAGTAGCTAACGATTGTTTACGTAGCTGTCTCTATTGATTCTCAACGTATTCTCTCACACACCCACATTCGCTCACTCCGCCAATGAAAGTCGATTTTGCAGTTCCCTCAAATTCCACCCTTCTCTGCACAGGCAACTTGTCTACGCCTCCCAGTCTCCCACCGCCTGCCTCCCTCGGGTACGGAAACCAAGCAATTCTTCACCACTCTCACCTTCCTCCCGACTGATGTCGACCGTTGGGAAGGCCACTTACACCCCACGGATACACGGCTTCCTTTCGGTGTTTGGAGCCTCGGGGGAGATTCAAGGTGGAGTGGACAATGGGTGAGTCGAGGTCCCCATCGTCCACGAGAGGGTATCGTGGACCAGGTTCGGAACAACCTTCTTCAACAGGGAGAGACAAAGAAAGTGAGAGGCAATGTGCACGGGCGGAATGAATCAGCCCGCTTGTGTCCCCATTTTTCCGATTTGTGGGCTTCCCCGAGATTCGAGCTTTCCCCCAAGCTTCTCAACGAGTCGCCGTCTTTCCAAAAAGGCCCCTGCATGGTCGTTAGTTGGAATTTCTATGTTCATTCCCTAAGCTCTGAGAGATGGGGAGGACCACGTTGAATGACTTGGCACTCGATTGTTAACCCTGCTTCAAAGACTGCAGAAAGGAATGGGAATTAAGAGCAGAAGGGACGAACGGGTGTCGGTTGGGTGCTATGGCAGGTCTCAGCTGTGGGATGGAGTTGTGATGAAAGCCTCCAACTTGCCAAGGTTCGGGAGGTGACGCACGCGACGGAGTACAAGTGGCATGGCTCCATTCTTCGTTCAAAGCCAATGCCACCTACATTGTGGTTTTGAGCCCGGTATTAGCAATACGCGACCAACACGAATTCTGGTCGGTAGAAATTGCACATTGTATTCACGCATGCAGGAGGAATTCATAAACGACGGAGTGAAGTTCGGACATAATTTTGATGCCTTCACGGTTGCTGCTGTGAATGTGGAGTTTAACGACAAGTTGTCGATGGCCTCATTGTTGGGTGGCCCAGGTGGTGATCGATCGTCACCTAATGGCTACCACCATCATCATCATGGTCATCATCACACTCACCACCACCACCACCACCACCACCACCAACAGCAGTACGAGGACGCAACGGCGTACGAAAACCCCACTTCAGCATACCGCACACACAACATATTCGATGTATCTGCCTCCAGCGCATCGTCCACAGCTTCATCAGCATTCCCCACACACTTTTCCTCTTCCTCCACCACAACCAACAATGGCGCAGGGAGTCAACCAAGTAGCTTACACGAAACATATCAACAACACCCATCATTCAACTCTACCCTCCCAGCGATAAACAGCACGATGCGATACGACCCCCCCTCTCCTTCCTCCCCCCAACTCCCACCCGCAAACCCACCACCATCATCCTTCCATCCCCACCACCTAACACGACACACCCCCTCTCCAGGATCACGCTCCCGTTCCCAATCTCGACCTCCGAGTTCTAGCTCTGCCCCGCCTCCGCCGGCGAATGGGGCAGGGGGTGTAGGGCCTGCGAGGACTACGAGGGCTAGAAGGAATAATAGTATTAGTGGGACTTCGCCGCCTCCTTTTGGTGTTCACCATGCACATGGACATGGACATGGGAGGCCACATGCGATTGTTATTCCTGGGAGTCGGATGGGTAGTTTGAGTGGGATGGCGCATGCTGGTAGTCCGTTGAGTACTTCTTCGAATGGTGGGGGAGCAGGAGGGGCAGGGGCAGGGGCAGGGAATGGGTGGTATTTAGCTGGACAGAGTCAGAGCTCGTAAGCCTTTCTTTCTTTTTTGCCTTCTCTTCGAAGCTGACGAGGGAAAATAGAGCTTCGGAGTACTCCCTCCCCACACCTAACGACCATCATCAACAATACACCCCTTTCGTGCTTTCCTCTTCTCAGGATATGCATCACCACCTCCCGCCTCTTCACCACCATTCCCACCATGCGCATTCGCATTCATTGCCGAAGGCGTTGGACACGCAAGCCATCAATTTGATGGCGCTCCCTTCTTACGATCCTCTCCCACCACAAAATCAAGCTCAAAATCAAGTACAGCTCCCACCACCCTCCCATCCTCCTCCTTCCCACCCCGCTCCTTCCGCACAACAACAGAAAGGAGGACAACAACAGCAGCAAGTAGGCGACAAACAAGCCCTACTAGCCAACGAGAAAAGAAGGAGGAGGCGGGAGAGCCATAATGCTGTTGAGCGACGACAGAGGGATAATATTAATGAGAAGATTAGTGAGCTTGCTACGTTGATTCCGGAGTGTATGTTGGATGTTGGCGGTGAGTTTTTCGTTTTTCTTTTTGGGCGCCGTCTATTCCCCCCTCTTGGTTGGTGGTTGTTGCGATTGTTTTCTATTTTTGCAGGTTGGATTGGGTCGCCTCTCTTTTTTTCTCTTGCATTGCATCCCCATCCCTTGTTCTTGTTACTCCTCCATTCCCAAAACCCCAACCTAACTAATCCTCTCCCTCCCCAGGTCCAAACAGAAACGCCTCTTCCCCATCCGCTGCCTCCCCAAGTGGGGGAGGGATCATGTCGAACGGTCTACTGGACCCAGATTCGCTGCTCACGCCCGTCGACGTGTTGAATGGGCTTAACAGTCCTAATCCCAGTGCGAATGGGTTGAACGGAACACCGACCAGGAAAGATTCGTTGGGTGAGGAAGGTGGGGGACAGCAGCAAGGGGGCGATGGGGGTGTTGTCAAGGCGAATAAGGGGATGATTTTGAGGAAGAGTGTTGAGTATATTAGGTGGGTTTCCTTTCTTTCTTTGTGGTCTTTTCCTAACCAAGCAATATTAACACCCCTTTGTACTATCTAGATACCTCCAACAACTCGTAACAGCACAAGGCGCCCGGAACTGCGAGCTCGAACAAGAGCTGAAAGCCTACCAATGCAGATCGCGCAGCTCCTCCAGCATGGAACCACTGCTTTCGGACTCGGCTCCAGCGGCTGGGGGTGACGGTAGCAATATGATCCTCCACGACGAGCTTCACCACTTCCATCATGGGCATGGACATATGGAGAGACTGCCGAGCATGCCAGAGGAGGGTGGGGACGACGGGGATGATCTTATGATGGGGCTTGAGGATGACATGGGGATGGGGATGAAGGGGAGTTTGAGCCCTGATTCGACGGAGGGTGAACGGGAGGAGCGGGGTGGGGAGGGGTTGGTGGAGGAGAGGGGGAGGACAAGGGGTGTTAGGGGGTTGAAGGCTGAGGTGCAGAGTGATGATTTGTTGTTGGGGATGTGAAGCTCATTTTCTCTTTTTCTCGCATCCTGGTGGATATGCTTTGCCTTTTTTTCTCCTTCTTATTTCGTTGTGCGGTTCCCTCCTGGCTTTGGTGCTTTGAACCTTCCCCCCACTCCCCCTTTTTTCGTGATGGCGATCTCTATTACTTATGCTGCTGCTGCTCTATACCCCGACTTGACATCTTCGCGGATCAAACCAAACCCATACGATAATCCATGGTCCCCCTCCTCCCCACCACCATCATCTTGGAACTCTCTCCAGCGCAATAATCATTCCTCGGAACACGTCCAGTCCAATGCTTTCAATCGCAATCGAAGCGACAAACCCTCCAAAAAAACCCAGACAAAGTTGGGAAGCTGTGTATATTAGTTAGTAGTTACTTACGTGCCTGAACTTGAATTTTATATCTCGTTTTTTACTTGAATCGGCTTTGCTTTCTTGTCACTGGCAAATTCGAGTTTTGTTTACTTACGCCTCTGTTTGTCCTCCGTCGTCTTTGCTTTCTCATCATTGACGAATTCGGTTCTACTTACTACCCTCACCCCCTAAGATTTCTTTTGGGACTCCAAACGATGGAATTGATCAGGACAGGGATGATGCAGTCCTCGGGGGCCTATGCACGCATACACTTGGTTAGATCCACTTTTTGCATTGCCCTCGCCGCGTCGGACGTGTTCGGCCGTATACGTAGCGCAATGGAGCTTGGACCCATAGTGACGGGGGTGATGATTGAGGGAAAGGTTCTTTCCCTCGAAATGGAGCGATTTCAAGTTATCCCCGATGATTGTGGAAGTTTAGATTCTGGGAGTTGTTGAAGTTGAAAAGAGAGTTCATCACGCTGGTTCCTTGAGTTTGACGTTTTGATTGAACGTTGAGCGCCAAATTGTGCACAACCTGTGCTAAATATTATGCACCCTCAACGTCAGCTTTAATCCTGGACAGCGTCAAGACGATCTACTATGTGACGCGCATGATGCGACTCCTCGGTGATATGTCCTTCCGAGCTTCCAAATCTTTGAAGGACGCGAGTTCATGAAATTTACAATGCTGAGATCCGTGCCCCAAAGCTAGCTCCTGGAAATTAATGAATATGTCAACATGGGTGGATGTGTGGGTCAAGTCCGTTCTCGGAGCAAGTATTTCCTGATGACATGGCACTTCTTTCACATTTGACGACGCGCCGACTCGGATACCCTGCGTGGCTCCCGGATGTCGGCTCATCGTTCATAGCAACCGCGCGCACAAGTGTGCCCTGCAAAGTTATCAATAAAGTCGAGTTTTCTGCAAACGTCTTGACTCGCCTGGAAATACATGACTTATTGTTTCTGCTACACTGTGCATACTCCACAATCATCACCTACACGCATTTGAATCCGGTCTTTACCTGACAAGCCGGAATAGCGATCGTCAGTAAATCAGGAATCACAACGAGGCTGGCAACGACATCGGGGAGTGAATGGAGAAGAGGAGTAAACTGACGTTAGGTCCTTCAAGTACTCACATCCTGCCAGATCAGACGTGAGGAGAAGATGCGGCAGATGGAGTACCAGTTGAATGGGGAAAGTGACTGCTCACCATTGCGTGGAAGCAAGGTAAAACCTTGATGGATCCAACAAAGCCAGTAATTGAAAATCTGGACAAACACAATAAAGCTAAATTTTAGGAACGAAAGCAACCCTGAATAACAAGGTATCTCGAGAACGATTTGGAGAGACCTCTCGGATTTTAGCATGGAGGGCCGAACTTGGGCGAACGCAAACAAATGAACCCTACTAACCCTCGTCTGTGGCCGTTGTTTTAGATTTACTCCTAACCCCCTCTTTCGATCGAACCCCGACCCTTTCATCCAGCTGAGGAACCAGCTCATCAGTCAATCAAGAAAAAATCCAAAAAAAAACTCACCCATCCCAGACCCTCAAGACCTTATCGCACCCACCAGTCACAATCGAACTAGGCCAGCCCCAGCCAATGAAGGAGTAACACATTCTGGTTTGACTTGAGCTTGAGGGGCCTTGTGATTTAGGGATCGACTGTGACGCCACCAACGTGAAGGTGTGCTGTGTAGTCTGGTCTGGTGCTAGTCGCGGTCATCCTGCTGGTGGTGCGAGCTTCCACCATGCCCATTGCGTGAATCTCCACCACATTTGTGGCTTGAACTCCTGCCACTGCATTGATCTAGTTCCCGATTTCTACTCACCTAGTCCATCGACGGCGTTGAATTTCGAAGAAGGCGAAGAGCCGCAGACGTTAAGCGAGATTGAGTTGGTCCCTGACTCCCCGCTGGCCTGTGTTTAACTTCCAGCTGCCCCTTGACGTCGTTATTCTCTGATCGTCTGCCCCATCGACTCTACCTCACTCAGCTTTCCTGAGGATTAATAATGCGCCTAAGTGCGCGTATACACTGTCAGGAGTGATCACACATGAAAAAAATCAAACCAAAGATACATACGAACATTATTGACAAAGCAAATCCTACGAAATGAGAAGTTAGCAAAACAGATCCTAGTTGTGAAGATGCGGAGAAGACTGACATCTGGATAGATGATATGTATCATATGGCTCGACGTCGCAGTCCATCTTTTAAGTATGGTAGGTGGCCCACTGAGTCTTGCATGTACAGGAACATTTACGCCTCTCTGAGCCAGGTTCCGAGTGCCAGGTGACAGAATTTTGGGCTGTGCTGTGTGAGCGCTTGGATGTCCCGGCAAAATCAAGGGGGTCTTAGGATTCAAAAAATGGACCTGGGGTTGATTTTTTTTTTAAAGCCTTACTACCTTGACCTACCTACCTACGTAATCAGGCACATTTCTATATATGGTAATATGACGTCATCGTCGTGATCGCTTCATTCCTCTACCTGTGCCAGATGCCTCACAAGCCTCGCAAACCCAGTTTCGTGGAACAATTTCCAACGAAATGCAACGTAGGTGATACTGGCATATAGGTGAGTAACTTGTAACCTCAGCTGGATGGAACATATACTTACCCGTTGTGTTTCACAGCCAAGCCTCTTACATTCAACAACCCCATCCGAATGTGAGTCCACCACCACTCCACACAGGCATCCATTCAAGGCTGGCATCTGCCTCGGAATGCGATTTCATTTAGAACAGCCACTTTCTTCTGTGGTGGTAGTATTTACAGCTATTACAGTGTCGCTAACGTTGCAGGCGCTTGGGGTGGTCTCCGATGGCGGCCCAAGAACAGGGTGCTAAATATCATGTGAGTGCATGTTCAACTAAGTATAGATGATACTCACGCTGTCCTTCTCCGAGCCCACGTCGTCAATGGTGACATTTGTTGCCATGTCTGTTACTGCCGTCTCCCCACTTTCACGTAGTACTCCCTCAATCTCTACGTCGTGTTTGTCTGCCAACTTTGCATTATGTGTCATGTTCCCCTCGCATCCCTCTTCAAACTCTGAAGTTTGTTCTTCTAGTCCAGATTCAGCGCCATTCGACTCTTGCTCATCTGAGCTGTCCTCGAGTTCCAGAGATTCCATGGCTGCATGACTGGAATATCTTAGTGAGTCACTCTTGCGCTAACAAATTGTTTTTCTGGCAAATGTACCCTCTAGAAATGTTGGCAATGGTCTGAACCAGTGCCCCTCGACTCCTGCTCGTCCAAGCCAAATTTATGATTAGATAAGATTAAAGAAATATTATATAAAGCTTGAATATCATTGAATTTGGACTGATCTACATGTTCTGGAGTGTATTGGCAGTGCAAACCTGCAAGGTATGGCCTTCCAGGCCTGTTTTGAGGTCATTTTGTAGAGGGTTCCATTTTTTTTTTTCTGGGCCTGCAGCTGACCTACCTACCCAACCCCCAGTCGGACTTTGGAATCCTAAGACCCCCTTGGGCAAAATGCGAATGATTCTCGCTTCTTTCCTTCGCCCCCATCTGCTATACTTCCAACATGAGCCAACCAAATGTCCTCCAGGGAGCTCAGAACATTGTTATAACTGACAGCAACATAAACATCGCCAATGCTGTAAGTGAAGTTCTCTGATGCCTCTTACTATTGCAAGCTAATCACTTGGTATTTTGCACAGATCAATTACTACGCTAGCACTGGCAACAGAATGATATATGCAACGATTCCTGTAAAACCAAACTCAAGTATTCGTTTCACAGGATGGACCAATGTTCTTGCAAAACTGAAGAAACATTTTACTGCCAAAAGCAACGATAAACTCCGCCATCAAAAATTCTTTTTGTTGTATGGCATGGGGGGTATTGGGAAGACTCAGATTTGTTTGAGGTTCATTGAGGATATGTCTGACTAGTAAGTACTCCACCATACTACTTAGTCCCCATTTCATGGGTTCCCAGCTTTTCCCATGTTTTCTGGATTGATGCATCTTCAATTGGTACAATCACACAGTGACTGAAGGGAATCTGCAACCTTCCTAAGGCTCAGTCTTCTGCTCTGGATGGTTCACCTCAATCTGCTTTACAGTGGATTAGCTCTCTGGGAGAAAACTATGCAATGGTCTTTGATAATGCTGATAATCTGACACCTGAGGAACTGGAGCAATATTTTCCACCTGGGCTAGGAGGGAATATTCTGATAACTAGTCACAACTCTGGCTTAAAACATTTGACTTTACATGAGAGTTCTCTTGAGGTGAAAGAGATGGAAGAAAGTGATGCCATCTCTTTACTCTTAAATGCTGCTTGGTTGAATGAGTCTCAGGAAGATCTACAAGCTGAGGCTTCCAAGATTGTGAATGAGCTCTTTTGCATTCCCCTAGCTATTGATCAGGCTGGTGCTTTCATTGCTTTTGGGAGCACAGACATCAGAAACTATCTTGATGAATACTCTCAATACAGAGAAAGATTATTATCTTACCCAGCTTTCAGAGGGGCATTTACATATAACAGAATGTGTATGGGACTTTGGAGCTATCATCCAAAGAGATTCAGCATAGAGCTAAAAGCGATGATTCTCAAGAGCTGAGGCAGCTAAGAGTGCAATGTTTCTGCTGGCAATCTTTGCCTTCTTTCATTTTGATGGTATTACTGAGGAAATTTTTTCCTATGCTGCTACTCAGGAGTGTGGAGATAATCAGAAGAGGTCTGCCTTGCCTCTTGCAAGCTCTATAATAGACTCCACACTGCTTCTGCTTCACAACACAGGAAAATGGGATAATCTCATCTTCAAAGAGGGAGTTGGAATATTACTGTCTTTTAGCCTGGTCAAACTGGTTTCATCCAAAGGTGTTTATACCATGCATCCACTTATTCATGCATGGGGAAGAGACAGAATGTCCTCAGAAGATAGACAGAAATTCTGTCTGATGGCATATGGAATGTTAGCTTGCTCCCTGACAGAAGACTTTAATAAGCAACCATATCAGTTCATGCCAATAATTTCATCACTCTTCACTTCCTAAGAGCCAGCTTTTTTACACGCTCGACCCTGCCACTGGCACCTCATTATGGTGGGCACTACACTGTGTAGTGCAAGTCATAACATGCACAGCAGCACATTCTATCTCTATCAACCCTTCTTTGCCCATCACACTATGCACTTACATTCCTCAATTTCAATTCAATTGCATTGCCATGCAGCACCTGGCAGTTTTATTGGTGTTAGACCCTGACTGTATGAACCCACTCTATGGGCACATGCTGGGAGAGAACATTCAAGTGTGGTTCACCAATTTTCAGAACATGGGATGACAAGCTGTGCAGTGGATTCACATGGTGCACACCCAATCAGCCCATTTGGACATTTACTTAGGTTGGAATTGGGATGCACTCTCTCAGAATATTTCAAACCTCAAAATCCCAAACTGCCATCTTATTGGAGGACCTGAGGGTATGCAGTCATTTTTCTCAATATTTTTAATTACTCATGAAAAGATAGATCATGCCAATTCTGCCTCATACACCATTCATTCTGCATTTAGTTCTTCTGTCAGCAAGTCTTCCAGCAAGAGCAGCAGTGGGAGCATCACACATGACAAAGACACTGTTATGGAAGAAGCTGAGCATGGTAGGAAGTCAAATTTTCAACTGAGAAGACTGAAGCTAAAGACTTGTCAGTTAATAGGTCCCTGGTATGGGAACAAGGAATAACAAGATAATGAGATAATAGAAAGTAGAGATGGAGAAACAAGGTATCATGGTGAGGGGTCCGTCTTGGGGATGTCTTGAGGGCATGGGTGTGGAATGATTCATGACAGTTATTGGCCTTGAACTCAAGATTGGCACAAGCATGATCATAGTGAATTCCACAACACACAGGCTTTAACACACTAAATTGGAGGATGTTTCTGACATAATTGCATTGATGGCAAGTAAAGGAAAAGTAAGGTGTTTTTAAGAAAAAAAATATGGATCAAGTTTTTTTAACATGCCTGAGGTGGCTGAAGTTCTTGCCAAAATTTAAAATTCAGATTTCCTACATCTCATGAAGGTACTTTGATTGCACACTTCAACATAACTGTATCTGCTATTGGCACTGCTGTTGCAAACAGAAGTTATGTAGGTTTGTATCTGCAATTCAACAAAACTAAGGTAACTTGAAGAGGCCTTGATGCACATTGGTAGCTTAGTGGATGCATTGGAGGATAATGGACAGCTCAACAGAAGAGTTGAAGAGGGGCTTGAAGGCAAGCACAGACATGGAGTATGGGATGGTGAATCATGAGATGCTTCTGATAGACTCATACACAGTCAATCATCAATTAAAACAGTCATATAAAGAGAAATTTATTCAACATACTAAACAGAATATCAAGATATGAGTAGAAGCCAGAATTTCAGTGAAAATGAATATAGGTGAAAAGTATGGAAGCATTGGGGAAGAAGAATTAAGTACTAGTTCCTGCAAAGCCATCATTGAGATGTTTCTTACTATGAAATGAATGCATCATCCCAGACTTGAATTTTTAAATCCTCTTGGCAAGATTGGTCAGAGAATGCACTAATCATATAAATATGAGTGTCAGTGAAAATGAAAAAATGAAGCTCATTTCATACCTTTTTCCCTAGAATTCATAAGGGGAGATTCTGCTCCAGGAACTTTATTCTTTATTTTCTGAGCTTGGATATCCAGTTTCTTTGCTTCTGTGTATTTTCCTAGATGTCGATATGTGGCTGCAAGATGTGCCATGGCATTGATTGTATCTTGGTGTTCCACTCCAAGAATTCTGGTGGTTGCATCCAGAACTTGAATCTGCAGGTTCTCTGCCTCTGTATATCTTTCCTGTCTATAACATGTTAAGGCTACATTGTCCATGCCATTGATTGTATCTGGGTGTTCCACTCGAAGAATTCTGGTCCTTGCATCCAGAACTTGGATCTGCAGCTTCTCCGCCTCTGTGTATTTTCCCAGGTATTGATATGTGGATGCTAGACTTGCCATGCCACTGATTGTATCTGGGTGTTCCACTCCAAGGATTCTGTTCCTTGCATCCAGAACTTGGATCTCCAGCTTCTCTGCCTCTGCATATTTTCCCAGGTATTGATCTGTTTCTGCAAGATGTGCCATGGCATTGATTGTACGTGGGTGTTCCACTCCAAGGATTCTGGTTCTTGCATCTAGAATATGGATCTGCAGCTTCTCTGCCTCTGTGTATTTTCCCAGGTTTCGATATGTTGCTGCAAGATGTGCCATGGCAGTGATTGTATCTGGGTGTTCCACTCCAAGGATTCTGTTCCTTGCATCCAGAACTTGGATCTGCAGCTTCTCTGCCTCTGTGTATTTTCCCAGGTGTCGATATGTGGATGCTAGATTTGCCATGTCACTGATTGTATCTGGGTGTTCCACTCCAAGAATTCTGGTACTTGCATCCAGAACTTGGATCTGCAGCTTCTCTGCCTCTGTGTATTTTCCCAGGTGTCGATATGTGGATGCTAGATTTGCCATGTCACTGATTGTATCTGGGTGTCCCACTCCAAGAATTCTGGTACTTGCATCCAGAACTTGGATCTGCAGCTTCTCTGCTTTTGTGTATTTTCCCAGCTTTTGATATGTGGCTGCTAGACTTGCCATGGCCCTGATTGTATTTAGGTGTTCCACACCAAGAATCCTGTTCGCTGCATCCAGAACTTGGATTCCCAGCTTCTCTGCCTCTGTGTATTTTCCCAGGTGTCGATATGTGGATGCTAGATTTGCCATGTCACTGATTGTATCTGGGTGTTCCACTCCAAGAATTCTGGTACTTGCATCCAGAACTTGGATCTGCAGCTTCTCTGCCTCTGTGTATTTTCCCAGGTGTCGATATGTGGATGCTAGATTTGCCATGTCACTGATTGTATCTGGGTGTCCCACTCCAAGAATTCTGGTACTTGCATCCAGAACTTGGATCTGCAGCTTCTCTGCTTTTGTGTATTTTCCCAGCTTTTGATATGTGGCTGCTAGACTTGCCATGGCCCTGATTGTATTTAGGTGTTCCACACCAAGAATCCTGTTCGCTGCATCCAGAACTTGGATTCCCAGCTTCTCTGCCTCTGTGTAGTTTCCCAGGTATTGATATGTGGCTGCTAGATTTGCCATGGCATTGATTGTATATGGGTGTTCCACTCCAAGAACTCTGTTCCTTGCATCCAGAACTTGGATATCCAGCTTCTCTGCCTCTGTGTATTTTCCCAGGTTTCCATATGTGGCTGCTAGATTTGACATGGCAGTGATTGTATCTGGGTGTTCCACTCCAAGAATCCTGTTCCTTGTATCCAGAACTTCAATCTCTAACTTTTCTGCTTCTCTTGCAAATCCTTGTTCCATCAACAATCTCCCACACTTGGCATAAGCATCATCTAAGTAAGTGACACCATTCTTGTTACTTTCTGATGTGGCATGCTCCATATTCACTCTTATATGTGTTACCAAGACCCTCTGAAATCTATATGGCTGGTCTTTACCCCATCTTAGTGAACAAGACAAAGTCACATATGCCATTAAGCAACATTGTTTCTTCTCATTTGGAAGCATTCTGTCTCTGCCCCAGGAATGGACCAGTGGATGCATTGCATACACACCATCAGATGGGCCTTTTTTGATCAAGGAGAATGACAGTAATATTCGAAGTCCCTCTTTAAAGACAAAGTTATCCCAAGTACCTGATTTATTGAGAGGAAGTAGTCTCCGATCCAGCAGAGAGCTGGCAAGAGGTAACTTTGAGGCAAGAATTTTCTTTTTTTTTTGAAGGGCAGCATAAAAAAAGATGTCTTCAGTAATCCCCTCATGATGGAAGAAAGGGAATAATTCCAGAAGGAGCATTGCACTATTGGCTGCTTTGGCCTTACGAGAATCATCAAATTTAGCCCTTCTCTGAATTTCTTTGTATGATAACTCCCAAGTTTCATAAACAGTTTTGTTATACTTAGAAGCTCCAGTAAAATCTGAATGAAATAATAGTGTCTTCCGGTGCTCTGAATATTTTGCAAGATAGTCTCTGATAGTGGTTGCTCCAGAAGCAATGTAAGCACCAGCCTGATCAATTGCAAGAGGAAGACAGAAGAGCTCTTTCACAATCTTAGAAGCTTCAGATTGAAACTCTATTGAAGATGAATTCAAGCAACTAGCTTTTAGAAGTAATTCAAGAGCATCATTCTCTTCCATCTCAGTTATTTCAAGAGAGTTCTCAGGTGAAGTTAGCCTCCTCATGGCAGAATTGCGACTAGTTATCAGAATATTTCCACCCCTTCCAGGTGGAAGATAAGCTTCCAGCTCAGCAGGTGATAGATTATCAGCATTGTCAAACACCATTACATAGTTCTCTTTCAGCAAGCCAATCCAGCAAAGAGCAGATTCAGGTGACCCATCCAGAGCAGAAGACTGAGCCTCAGGAAGGTTACAGATGCCCTTCAGTGCCTGTGTGATGGTGCTAACTGAGGATGCATCAATCCAAAAAACAAGAGAAAAGCTGAAGGTAATTGAAATTGAATTAAAAGGCATTGGAATGGTATTCAGTAGATACTCACTGGTCAGACATCTCCTCAACAAACTTCAAGCAAATTTGAGTCTTTCCAATCCCCCCCATTCCATGCAACAGGAAGAACTTTCTCTTCTTAGCTCTGCCATTTGCGTTGGTAAAAAAATGCCTCTTGAGTTTGGTGATAACTTCTGTCCGTCCTGTGAACCGATTGCTTGGGTTTGGCGTGAGGGGGATGACCCCGTCCGACGTGGTCCTATTGCCGTTGTTGATGTTGTGGATGTGCATCTGCCGGAGATCCGTGCTCTCAGCTTCGTTCACTGGTGCATTAACACAATAATCATTCTACTCACAGTGTTAGCATTATTGAATGTGCTGTTGTTAGCAACAAAGTGGTGAGCGCCCGCAAGAACGTTCGCTCCGCTCATGTTGAGATATCGAC